TTTTGGTCTTGGCCTGGTCGGTCTTGGGGTAGAGGATGCCTGTAAGTGGCACGGGCAGCAGCGGATCCAAGATGGTCGCGCACTCGTCGATGCACTCCCGGAACACCTTCTCGTTGTCATAGAGCTTGCGCCCCATGTCGACGTACTGGGAGCCCTGCCCGGTGAACATGAACCCGATCTTGTTCTGCAGCGCCGCCGACCCACTGTCCTTTTTGAGCATCTCATCGATCTGCGCGGCACTGAGCGCCTTGGCCTCCACGAGGACGTGAGCATTGGCGCCGCCGAACCCGAAGGAGCTGACGCCGCCGACCATGCGTTCCTTGGCGGGCAGGCCAGAGACGAGCGGCACGGGCTCGGTGGGGAAGACCACCGGGAAGCCCTCGATGTCAAGGTAGGGGTTCAGCTGAGTCAAGTACAGGTTGGGCGCCGCGCAGCCGTGCAGGAGCGTCATGATGAGCTTCGCGAGACCCGCTATGCCCGCGGCTCCCTCCAGATGCCCGATGTTGGTCTTGAGAGCGCCCAGCACAAGAGGGTTGCCGTCACTGCGACCCGGACCCAACACACCCTGCATCGCATAGCATAGCATCGCATCGCATCGCATCGCATCGAAGGACAAATCATGGAAACATACAGTCAGTACAGTCAGTCATGCATACAGTACATGCATTGCATTGAATTGCATTGCAAGTACACGGTCACGTGGTACGGTACCTTACCTGAAGGGCTCCAAACTCTATTGGGTCGCCGAGGGATGTGCCCGTGCCGTGGGTCTCAATGTACGAGACGGCCGATGGCTTCACGCCGGCCTGCTTGAGCGCTTCCTTGATGGCCTCCTGCTGCGCGGGACCGCTGGGTGCCGTCAGACTGGCACTTCGGCCATCGTGGTTGACCGACGAGCCAAGCACAGTAGCGAGCCGCCGCAGCTTCATCGCCTCCACATCACTCGCGCGCCGCAGCACCACGGCACACGCACCCTCGCCCCTCACGTAGCCGTTGGCCTTGGCGTCAAACGTCTGGCACTTGCAATCCGGCGAGAGCATGCGCGCCTTGCAGAGCGCAATGAACGGGTGGGGCGAGAGCATCAGGTTGACGCCTCCCACCAGGGCACCGCGGCACACCCCCATGCGCATGTCCTTGACCGCCACGTCCATGGCCACCAATGAAGATGAGCATGCCGTGTCGATGGTCATGGAGGGGCCCTTGAGACCGAACACGTACGAGATGCGGTTGGAGACGATGCTGACGGCACCTCCCGTGCCAGCGTAGCTGCTGCTCTTGTCCGTCGAGTCAATGAAGTTCCAGTCCTGGCTGCAGCACCCGATGAGCACGGCCATGTCCTGGCCAATGAGCTTCTCGCGGCTGAGGCCCGCGCTGTGGAAGGCCTCGTAGCCCACTTCAAGCATCAGCCGCTGCTGGGGGTCCATGCAGTTGACCTCAGCGGGGCCGATGTTGAAGAAGGCGTTGTCGAACATGTCGGCCGCCTCCATGAAGGCCGCCTTTCGCGTGTAGCACTTGCCCTTGGCATCGGGGTCGGCGTCGTAGACCTCGTCAACGTTCCAGCGGGTCAGCGGCACCTCGTCGACACAGTCGGTCTTGTCCATGAGCATCGACCAGAAGGATGAGGGGGTTGTCACCCCGCCGGGCAGGCGGCACGACACGCTCACCACAGCCAGGCTCTCAGACATGGCCACAGGTACCGGGACACCCCACTCGTCCACAGCGGCCGCCTCGTCCGCCCCCCCGGAGACCTCACTGTAGATGAAGTCAATGATGGCGTTGAGCGTCGGGTAGTCGAAGAGCGTGGTGGCGGGCAGCTTGACGCCGATCTTGGAGGACAGGGCGTTGCGGAATTCGACGGCGCCGAGTGAGTCGATGCCCAGTTCCTGCAGAGGGGAATCCAGAGGCGGCGCTTCCGTCATGCCGAGAACCGTTGCAGCTTCATCCACGACTGCCGTGTGGATGTGCTCCTTGAGGGCCGCTGCATCCATGCTGCGCAGCTTAACCGACACGCCTGCCGCCGCGCCCCGCGTGGCAGCTGACCGCACTGTCTCGAAGAAGGGCGGGATGACATCGTACCTCGACAGGAAGATGTCCCACTTGAAGACCTGACAGCACGTCACCCCGACGCTCTCAGAGTGCCGCATGACGTCGCCGAGGACGCGAAGACCAAGATCGTTGGTTATGCCGCGCATTCCCGCCTTGTCGAGGTGCTGCTTGACTTCGACCGCCATGCCCTGCTGGGTCCACGGGCCCCACTGAATGCTCTGCGCCGCGAGCTTCTTGGATCGGCGGTACTCGGTGAGGGCGTCCAGGCAGGAGTTGGCCGACGAGTAGTTGGCCTTACCAAAGTTGCCGAGTAGTGAGGCGACGGAAGAGAACATCATGAAGTGGTCGAGAGGGGTCTCCTTGTCGAGGGACAGCTCGTGGAGGTACCAGGCACCCATCACCTGCATACACACACACGAGACGGAAGTGATGGATGAGAACAATGTTCGTGAGGGACGATGCATTCATTCTTCCAGTCTGCTGACTGGGTGGATGACTGG